TCTAAAGTCTAAATTAAATATCAATCTCAGCAGTGCGTTTTGTTTTATAAAAATCCTGTCTGATCCAATAGCTAGTCCCCAGACCGAAATGTTCTGATACATGATCGAGTGAAATTTGGCATAATAAACTGATATCAGTGAATTTGTATCTAACTTGCACTTAAGAGATTTCATCAGATAGTATGATTGATTCAATTATCTACCGAGGCTTTGTCTAAATCTTGGTGACACTCTAGTACTAGCCCTCTTAGATATAACTACATTCTCTCATTTTTCATAGGATTAATAAAGTACAGATAAGACCAGGAAAACCATTAATCGGAGGACGGGAAGATGTAATTCCAAACTTTTCTACCAGACTGCCAGTTTTGGAAAGTAAAGCTGCTCCTTACGTCCCTATGCCATATATTTTCAGGTAACACAAAAAATATTCTAATTTCCAACATTTGAAGAGTCAGCTTGATGATTTTTTTGCAGAGTTCCGTTACCGCCAGTACCAACGAAAATCAAGAATCTCAGAGCTAGGAGCCCACCGTTTTATCTTCTTCTGGATCATACTATATCTGTTATTTGGTTGATATTTGCAGAAAAAGAATACGAATGTCCGCTCGGTGAGAAGTAGAAAATTATAATACGATTGAAAGCGATATATTGTTACGTTTTTCACCGTCGGCTTACCAGTAATTCACCATTCTGAACAATAATCCAACTTCAACTATTATTCGAATGTCTATCGCCTCACTAGATCGCTTCGCGTACCGCACTCTAACTTCCACTTGGCGGTGTCGATATGCTCGTGGCTAGCGTTTATATATCGTAATCGAAAATGGTATAAAATCCGCCGGAATTCCATCGAAATCGGTAACATTATTCTCGCTACATCTAGAGTGGCAGCGAACATCGTACATTCACGCGCTCTTAGCTACGTCACAATTGGTTTATGGCTACCAGTGGCGGCCGGCGTTATTTTCTTCAGGGCATGATTTGCAACAATATTTTTGGGAGAGATTAATTTTTAGCAAAAAATATTTTTGGCTTTCTACTTCTTAATTTTCATACAAAATAAAACTGGGAATCTTCCAAAGAAAAGAATAAAGTAATTAATTTTAAAGTGAACTCATTTCAAAGATATGTAAGTCATGCAAAGAAGTATATGTATCTGTAGAGTAGGGAGGGTGAGTGTAGACCTACAGCACTTAGGCCACATGTGACCCATTGTACATCCTCCTGAGGAGTTTTTCTTCTAGGCCATCGTGCATCCTGTCCTTTCCAGAAAGGTGGCAGGTGTAGGCTGAGACTTGTCGAACTCACACTCTCTTTGACTACCTTGAGGTGTCTCACGGTGGCCTCCACGAAGATTTTGGAAGGTGCAGCGACATTACTGTCGTTGCGCTGCTTCCTCAACGTTCTTGGGTTTCCCTCCGTGGAGGTGCACAAGTGAGGGAGCTTTCTTGCAGGGGCAGACGGTTCCTTGCCTTTATTCAAGGCGGCGCCGCAAATGCGCTTACGCCTTGGCATTCTTATTACATCACGAAGTGATCTGCTATGTCCAGCCTCATACCAAGCGGTAGATTGGCGTGGACATTTCTCTTCATCCGCCTCAGATTGAGGTGAGCACTTCTGTCCAGCCTCGGGATTGGTTTTTGTTTTTGTTGTTTCTGTTTTGTGTTTGTTTCAATCATGTGTGTTCCCACGAGTAGCAAGGGAAGAATTGGTCACCTCTGACAGAGCTCCACATCACCAGAGACAGGCTGATTACAAAGAGGTTTCGCCCAGTTCCCCAAGGGGATCGATCGTAACCGCAAATCACCCTGCGGCCATTCAGCTGTCGGTACAATTCCTTACACCTTAGCCTGGGTAGGCTGGTCCACGATGGCATATTTTGCAAAGGCTCTTGGGAAGTTTTAATTTCCCTCACCCTACTTATTTTTGCCACTGACCAGGAGTCCGGCGACCCCGTCCTGAGGCCCGGTCAGGGCCTCCAATCCCCTGACCATTCCCCTATCCTCCACCTGGGGAGGCGCCCAATAGGTAGGCCAACCCACGGGATGCAAAGAAGTAAATTCCAGTACTGAAAAGATTCAAGTTTTTAGGCCATCAAATTTAATTGAAGTTTAAAAAAAAATTAAATATTTGAATCCAGGAAAAGCTTCTGCATATAAAGTTATCAGTATAAATATCGTTAAAGCAGTCAAAGCTGAATTCTGACCAATTTTGTTCTTTATTTTTTCGAAATCTTTGAAAAATTATATAATACCTAACAGTATGAAAATTGCTAAAGTTACACATACTTAAAAGAATGCCATAAAAGATGATCCTTACAACTACCGCCCAATCTTGGCATTATCGGTTTTTGCAAAAATTATCATTATAATTACATTACCAGAACTAGTTTTTCTGATACTTGTATGATTGTTTACAGGAATTGCCCAACTACAGTGGGCCTCAGCTTTCCTGAAAACAATTCACAACCGCCAAGGTGAATATCCTAAAGATGTAGAAGTTTGTATCGACGCCATAGAAGAAATATTGTTGAACCAGTACGCTGAGCTTTCGAAAGAAATGAACACGGCAAATAAACTGGACGAAAGTGTACATTATGTTGATGGAGCTCTTGGAACAAGGTCAGTTCAAGACAAAATGAAAAAAATCTTTTTCTGTTAAGCAACCGTTGACCATTGTTTGTTGTTGGAATATCTTATCAGTTTAAACTGAAAAGGGCATATTTTCAGGAGAGATACAAGAGCTAGTACGCTCTTCTAATAGGTTACAGCTTTGGATAAAGGGCCTGACTGCAACCTCTTGGCAGATAAAAAAACAAAATGTTTTTGTATAAAGATGAAAAAAGAGAAATTCGAAACCTTTCTTTTCCAAAAATTCTTCACTCCTAAAAATATATCACTTTCAATTTGAACAAAACTCCTATGGCTGGGCACAACATGAGACACGTTAAACAAGGGGCGAATAGTAACAATAGTTTACATTTATAAGATAAAATACATGGAATCAAACATATCAAAAGCTCATTACAAGTTAATTACTTATATTGAAATCTAATTACAAAACAGTAATATTAGTCAGCATCATTGATATAATCATCTAAGGAAAAAAATGCTCCTCGGATCAAGTAACTTTTCAACATCTGCTTAAACATTTTCAAATTTGTAACAGGTGGAATATGTATGCCAAGTATATGAAAGCGATCTTTTGTACTGTGATCTAAGTGTGGAGATGGGAGTCGTTCATTTTTCTAGTATTATGTTTGTGGTACCCGCTATTATAATAATGATAATAATAATAATAGGACACTCTTACGGTATTGACGAGACACCGGTGTTGCCCTACGCTCCGGGGGATTCAATATCCCCCGGAGCGAGAAGTGCCGAATTTATTGGAACTAGTCGTTCCCCACCTTCAGGCTCATACAATCTAATAAGCCTGATGTGGTCCTTCTCGACCACCAGAGCAAAACGATATTTGTCGTGGAGTTTTCAGCTCCTGGCGTCAAAAAAGAGGAGGGAAAACGGATTAAATATCGAGATTTTCTCAAGATGGTTGTTCTGATTATTAGAGTCCTTGGTGGAATGATGTTCTCTCTACTCTCGAATCTTAAAATCATACCGGTTTGCCACACCAAGGCAGAAATCTTAGCCGCACAGATGCAGAAGGCTGTCATTCTTGGCTCACTGCGCTTGCTCAGGGCACATGATTCTCGGACCCAATGATCACTTACCCCACGGTGTGGGGAGTGGTCATTGGTTGATAATGCTGGCGCGCCCTCTCGAATCTGTTTAAATCTGTTTAAATCTGTTTTTCCGTTAACCAGCTGTCGCACCCCTACGAACGACAACCCTCAGAAGTCGAAACTTGTGCGAGCCAAGGATTAACGAGGTCTTACCTTTTAACGTGTGATTCCTAACACGGGTTGTCGGTAGCAAGTGAAGATCGATCGTTCAGACTAGGGCTTGAACCACCGACCAACACGGCAGTCAATTCGAGTGAGTGAACAAAGCACCCACGCCGAACCGCTTGGCTACCGACTGACCGAATATATCGAGGCTTCGGGGGATAGGGCCTGACCAGCGCACACTACGGGAAAAAAAAGTAATAATAATGGTGAAAATGGGGTCTTCTTCAATAACATTGGAGACCTTGGCTTATCAACACGTCTGACCTTCGATTTTCTCAGGTTTAGTGGGCTGAAGTCGTAAACTGAGGGGTTCATCATTGCTCGCCAAGATGGTGTCTTCAACACCTTAGTCTACCGCAGTCACGTGATGGATATAGAGGTTTACTTTCAAGAGGGCAGTCTGTGTTTCGTGTTTTTTGCGGAAGCCAGACTTCAACTTCATCAATGCAGTGTGGTATCACTGAAGAAATCATCTTGATATTTATATTGTCAATACCTAAAGCATTAGATTTTATTTCTTTGATAGCAGTCAAAATATCATCAATTATATCAGTAAGGGAAAAGTTCATACGAGCGTTCAATTTGTTATTATTATTAATCTTTTTCAGTTTTCCTTTCTTAGTGAAGGCATATATTAATAGTCTGTATAGATGAATAGATGTGAATCAGGCCCTTTATCCGAAGCTCTAATCTATTCGAAGAGCGTACTATCATCAATAATCACTCTCAGCAGTCGTGGGGTGAGTGATCATTTGGTTCGAGAAACGTGTACCCTGAGAAGTCGCAGAAAACCAAAGAATTCAGTCTTCTGCACTTGTCTGCATTTGAATGGTCTCGATATTACATCCACTTTTCCTCATATTTTCGGATGACATTCGCTTCAGTTATGACAGAAAACTCTCCTTGTTCTGTTTATCGAGAAGAACTACATCAGGCTTATTAGCTCCTATCTGTCTGAGTAGGTACTGAGTAGTTCTAAAAATTCAGCACCTGTCATCCTTCCTGACGTATTCAATATCTTTCGGAACCTAACGCAACATTATTGTCTCATTAATATCTTGGGAATCCCAAAGAAGGTAATATAGCACCCGCAATTTCTTGTTATATCGGTGGGTAGAAGCTGTAGACCAAAATATCCAAGACACCATCCTAACAAGACATGATGAATACTTTGCAGCTCACCTGACCTATGGGAAGCAAGAGTCAGGTTCTTGGATGAACCACGGTCTTCAATGTTTTTTAAAAAACCTGTGTCGGCTTTATAAAGCCACAAATTGATCTCTGCTGCTTTTATACGGGCTCTTTGTTGAACGGGTTCCATCTCGATGATACGAAAATTGGGAAGTTCTACAGTCGCCCAAGTAGTTATCCCAAAAAAATTCCAACCTCTACTCATGCACACAGACCATACAGAGATGAGTTCTACCTCCCGATGACTTCACAAAGCTCCAGCCAGAAGTATTCTGCTATGAAGGCACTCCAAACTCAGAAGACCATTGGTATCCTTCTAGGAAATATATAACCATGGAACGGGCGGCTCCCCTTAATCCAAATCACTACTCCTCAAGAACGTACTTGTGTAGAGAGTACCAACAATAATGAGTCAAAACTTGTTTTATTTGAACAGCAGTATTGGTTTCATTTTGAACCATGGTTACCTTCACCTTTTCTTGCTAAAAAATTATCGATTTGCACATTGAGACGTCAATTACTGATATTGATTATGTTTCATTTCAGTAACATGGTGAGTAAAAACATTCCTTTCTCCTTGAACTATTCGGAAATGGTGAAACGTTGCCCGCAAATAATTGAGGCGCAAGTCCACGGTGCAGTATCAATGACTTCGGCAGAAGCTACTGCAGAACTGGATAATATAAAGAAAGCGGCTGGAAAGGAATCACTCGAAGAACTTGGTAAGTCCTTTTTTTGAAACAACCTGACACATGAAGATTCTGATACTTCTCCATCTGCCATATGTTTCATTGCTTCCAATGCTTTGTTGAGTGTGAAAAACTATGTAGTGGGTACACCGTCATCTTGAACATAGTTGAAACTTGTGAAACGCTAGCGTTGATTCCTGATGATTTAAAAATAACTCCATCCATCAGGTAACAAAAAATAACCGACACAAACTCAATGCCCAAAGGCAATTAAAAAAAAATCAGTTGTACCACACATGGCCGAATGCTCTGAATATATCAAAAACTCCTACCAGGGTTCTTTCATATTTCACGATAGGTGATGAACAAGAAGATTCCATGTTGAACTTTGAAGGGCTTTACAGTTGTTTAACGATTTCAGTCTTCAGTTTGGAAATCGCCTTCGGCAGTATTCTTAGACGAGACACCGTCTCTGAAATCACTCTTACCATGGACGGATATAGCAATACAGTGGATAAATTTGAATACACTGGTTCAGTAAACGATTGACCAACACCCATACGTCGGTGAAACGCAAGATCTATCGTAAACACCGCCGCTGTCTGTGAGAGTGTGCTGGATAATCTAAAGCGTCGCTCACGAGAATTCATCCTTTCACAGACTACTACTTGGCGAATTTTGCATCGTAACTTGTGATTACACCTGACAAAATTCACTTGACACAGGAACTGAAGGTAAACGACCATAGACAACGACGTGTGTTCGCTGAAGGGGTTCTGGAGCAGTTGGCAACCGATCCTAATTTTCATCAGAAAATAAATCATCTCCAGCCCATTTTTGTATGAATGTGTACGTGGACAAACAAAATTGTCGAATTTGGGACGATACCAATTCACATTAGTCCAGTTCCCAGAGGATTTCACCTTACTAAAGGTGGGGTAAAAGATTTAATTTTTTTATTTCGTCTCAATGGGTAATAAAGGGTAATATACAGGCTGATTCACGGTGGATGGCACATTAGACGTTTCTGGTGAACCAGACAACGGATCACTTTGAAAATTTAATGGAGGGCATATTCGGACATTCTCTAGCCAACTAAAATATTTTCGACAATGCGGTGTTGCCGCTTCTATAACATACGGGATAACTTATAAGGGAAGACCAATCGTTGTAGAATTATCTTTTTAATCAATCTTTCTGATTTGTTATTCTCTCCAGTCTCGTTCATTAATCCTTATAACAACGAAAAGAAACAAGATAGGTAAAGACGCTCTTGGTCGATCAGCTCTGTATGATTGACTGACTGTTCATAAGACAATAGCAAGTGACGTTGGTTATTGAGAGACGTTATTTGAGTTTTTTTTATTTTTTTAATTCAATAACATGCTGAATGAATCTGCAATCGAAGATTGAATCAGCCGTTGCTGATGCTTTGAGATATAACATTCGTCCTCGTAGTCAACGCACATACCCCTGATGATGTCAGCAGCACAAGCATACGAAACGTTTGGTTCCTTAGGTTCCGTTTGACCACGGTCTACTAAATTCCACGTGATTACAGAGTCAACAATGCGAAATAAATTCAATGAGAAGTTGACATTTGTGGTATTATTTGTCATCACAAAACCTCCAACATACGATTGAGGATTTTTTCCTACAACAGAACTGTAGTTTATAATTTTCTTTCCAAAATGCAAAAATTTCTTCATGGCTATTTAAAAAATGGCTAGCGCTGAAGAAACCATTATCAACTATGACAATTCTGAAGACAATGAAGTGCTGACAAATAAAAGTCAAAAATTTTACCAAATGTTAAAAATTTCCAAAAACTACCTGAAACTCAAGCATTTCATTTAATATGACAACTGACAACTGAAAAATTTGTCTGATCAATATATCAATGAGAAATTGAATATTTTTTTTTAGTTCAGTGGTGGCAGTGGTAGTGGACGGATGTGCCAATAACGACCGCACACAAAAAAGGTATGTGAATGACATGTGCTATCGCGAGACTCCACGTGTAGTGAATGTCCATCAGTAAAACATATTGNTTGGTAGCCGAAAAACCTTGAAATTTTCGAGCATTTTTCGTTTTTTTCGCAATATTTCGAAAAGGAGTGGTTTTAGCGAAGAACAGTCCCTCTTAAACCTACAAATTTCATGTAATTTTTTCTTATACGACCAATAGGAAGCGAGCTACAGCATCTCAAAGATGGACCATTTTTCTCAAAATGGAAAAAAAGCCAAATAGCGCTTTCTTTTTTATGTATATTTTTTCCTTCCACGACCAATAGGAAGCGAGCTACAGCATCTCAAAGATGGACCATTTTTCTCAAAATGTTAAAAAAGCCAAATAGCGCTTTCTTTTGTGTGTGTGTTATTGCCACCCATGCATTCTTTGGTTGAATTTTCGAATTATATTTTGGACTGATAAGGTTCTCCAGACCCCCCTCATCATCAACCTGAAGTAGGCATATCGAAACCCTCACAGTCCAATGTAATGTAAGAAAAAGCACTTTAACCTATTCGCCGAGCTTTCGCATTGTTTTAAAGCTTCATCAGGGCCTAAAGTCAGTGAAACAAAACTATGGTGAATGAAATAAAAAGAGTTTTCCACAAAATGGTACTTAGCAGAAAATTCGAAATAGGCGTTATTGTTATGAAAATGAAGTAGAATGATCTAGAACGTGTCTGTGAGCCCCCCCCCCCATTAGAAAATCATCACCAACTAAAGGAATAAAGGAGACAAGAGAGTGGAAAAACATTTTTATGGAAAAAACTTTTATTAAATAAGTGAAGTATTTGATTACAATAAAATTATTGAAAAATTGACCAATGAAAAGAGAAGTTAACCTTTCACTTCACTTCCTTCTTAGGCGTTTCGACGGTCCTGGTTCCTCACGAACAGGTGCCATGATGGGTGGGTCCTCGCAGACCTTATCCATGGTTGATGAGGTGAATGTATCTTCCTCTTCCTCACCTTCTGTGTCCAGGTCGGAGGAGTATAGTGTGACATTGTCGCAGTCGGTGCCTCTGCATTTCTTGCAGACGCTGGAGCATTTCAACACGGCTTTGTCGCACGAGCAGGCTCACTGACATCCAGATCTGCAAGTGCACGAGATACTTTCAAGTAGGCTTTTGGTTGTTGGGTCCTTCGTTGCATGCTGTGGAATCAGGCCCTGTAGATTGCTGGTCCACCCATAATGTTTGGGGTTCAAGTGTGTGGCACCCAGCCAATTTTGAATTTGGTAAAACGATCTTGGTGAGTGTAGAGCAGCAGCATCAGAAGTGGGTGGTAGTAAATTCATTCGAAAAAGGCGTTATTGTTATGAAAATGACGAATGAATTTACTACCACCTCATTTCAACAAATACCTACTCATTCCTCATGAGTTATCAAATTGGGGGGTGGAGTACCTTATCGGACCAAAATATAATTCGAAAATACAACCAAAGGATAGCTGGGGCGAAATAACACACACAAAAGAAGGCGCTATTTGGCCATTTTACCATTTTGAGAAAAATGGTCCATTTGTGAGATGATGTAGCTCGCTCCCTATTGGTTATAGAAGAAAACATTATTCATAAAATTTGTAGGGATTTCAATGCTCTACAACTTTGTATAAAGACTGTTTTTCGCTAGAACCACTCCTTTTCGAGATATTGCGAAAAAACCGAAAAATGTCCGAAATTTTCGAGGTTTTTCGGCTACCAAAAGTTGTGTCGAGCCCATTATACCCATTAAAACGAAATGAAAAAATAAAATCTTCTACCCCACATTTTGTAACGTGAACTCCTTTTTTTGTCTCTGGGAACTGATGGACTTCATGAGATCCAAGAGCTTCCAATGCATCCCGAAAGAGTCACTGCTTGTTGTGGATTTTGGGCTGGCGGCGTCATCGGTCCATATTTCATTCGACAACAACGTTCGTCAGGCTGTCACTATCAACGGCGAGCACAGTAGGTCGATAATTACCAATTTCTTTTGTCCTAAATTGGATGATCTGGACAACAACGGCAGGTGGTTTCAACAGGACGTGCCACACAGTTCATGCCACATTGAATAGTCTGCAAGAGCGATTTGAGGGCATGGCCATCTCACGTGGAGGTTATGTGAAATGGCCACCTAGATCATGCGATTTGACCCCGTTAGAGTTTTTTTCTTATAGGGTTTTTTAGTCGCAGGTGTATGCGAGTGAGCCACATAATAAATCAGTCCTCAAAGCCAACATAACCTATGCAATTGGTCTAATTTAGCCTGATTTATGCGCCAGAATTGGCGCATAAATTGGAAAATTGGAAAATCGTGGCGGAAATTTGAACGATGTTATATTATTTCTTTGGAATGTTCTATTTTCCAGATACGGTTTCTAAAAACAAAGCCATCAACGTTTTGAAGATGTGGAAAACGGACCAAATGGAAAAAATACGGGGAGAACTGAGAAGGCTGCGATCAATCGAAGACAAAATGAAAGATATTGACAGTCAATATACAGAAGAAGATGATGCTGACCTGTTGTTCCATGTTGATTAGAGTGACATGGTCAATGCGAGAAATTTTAATCAATTTCATGTAATAAAAAATAAAATAATTACTTGCGACGTGAAGTTTCTTATTTGTAAAACACATTCAGTAGATCACACCTATAAGTAAACTCCATTGTTATGCCTATAGGCTGAAAGTGACATCCAGAACATACGTGAAATTATCTTCCCAATCAATCTTTCTGGTTTGTTATTGTCTCCAGTCTCGTTCATTGATCCTTATAGCAACGAAAAGAAACAAGATAGGTTAACACGCTCTTCGTCGATTAGTTCTGTCCGATTAACTGACTGTTCATAAGACAATAGCAAATGGCGTTGGCTATTGGGAGACGTTATTTGAGTTTTTTTTTAATTCAATAACGTTCTGAATGAATCTGCAAACGAAGATTGACTCAGCCGTTGCTGATGCTTTGAGATATAACTTTTTTCCTCGCAGTCAACGCACATACCCCTGATGATGTCAGCAGCACAAGCATACGAAACGTTTGGTGCTCCATGTTCCGTTTGACCACGACCTACTGAATTCCACGTGATTACAGATTCAACAGAGCGAAATAAATTCAATGACAAGTTGACATTTGTGGTAGTATTTGTCATCACAGAACCTTTAACCCACGATTGATGAATTTTTTCTACAACAGAACTGTAGTTTATAATTTTCTTCTGAAAATGCGTTGAAGAAACCATTATTATGTCAATTCTGAAGACAATGAAGTGCTGACAAATAAAAATCACAAATTTTACTAAAAGTTAATAATTTTCCAAAAAAAAAATACCTGAAACTCAAGTCTGATCAATATATCAATGAGAAATTGAATATTTTTTTAGTTCTGTGGTGGCATTGGTAGTGGACGGATGTGCCAATAACGACCGCACACAAAAAAGGTATGTGAATGACATGTGCTATCGCGAGACTCCACGTGTAGTGAATGTCCATCAGTAAAACATATTGAGAGGACAAGCGACCTTACGCCAGTAACCAGGCTGGATGTCGACGGATCCATGAGGTCGTAATTTCGATAATATTATCCGTAACTGTCCAATTTAGTTTGTAACAATGCTTGGATTCCTTCACGAGAGAAGAACCTTTGGATGGGGATGAAAAACTGACGTGTTCGAGGTGCAAGGAAAGGAGAAAATGCGCAAAGTCTCTATCAATCGATAAGTTTTCCTGTATTTTAGTAATTCATTTGAAAATATTCTCTCCAACGAGAATGTTGCGATAGAATTTCTTCTAGAAGGATTGGCTATGAGCAATTTTGCAGCAGATAATGTAGCTACTTGTCGTTATAATCTATATCCCCCTTCGAATCACAGTGGGAGTACTGACAGCGGACATTACACAGCATGCTACAGACAACCCTACACTGGCACATGGCACGAATACAACGTTTCACCAATTTCATCAAATTCGCTAGTGAGTAGTGAATGGAGAGGCATACGTCCTCTTTTATGAAAAGAAGAAAACGAAACAACACCTTTGAGATAACTGAGAGGATGTTTCTTCATGCTCCTGTATTCATAGATTTGATGATTATATCCAAAAATGTATTTGTTTAGGCACTTGTTGTTGAAAAATATTATACAGTAGAGAAATTCTCCTTTGAAGAAATAACATATCTTCATATTTTAAGTGTGAATTATATTGGATTTGATGAAAGCAACCATTCAGTTGCCACTGGTCATTTGGAATAAGAGCGGCAACTTTCAACCCTCTAGATTTTTTGATCACCAAAACTGAAAACTTATTAGTTTGTGACTAGCCGTGCATTCCGAATCAAATTACCAAATCATGAATGTATGAACAGTAATTAGAAAATATTAAAACCGTTGACAGGTTATAGAAAAATTTGATTTTCTGAAATCCAAGATCTTGGTTCTATTCGCTTGTTGAATATTTGAGAGTGATAACCTTTTATGTTTCTCATCCAATTTTGCATTTATTTTGCACTTTTTGCCCTAGAATAAATTCGAGGGCATACCCTAGAATAAATTCTGTCATTCTACAGCATCAATTAGTAGCTCAAAACACAAAAACGCGAACTAACACTAGTTTTCACTTCTTTCCGTAGATCAATTCAAAAAATCTCAACATTGGTTGGCAACTACCACTATATTTTTTCAACACATCTGCATTTTTTACTCTGTGAGATCGCGTCAATCTGTCAAGTGTCTAGCTACCACAGAATTCGTTCACGTGACAACACGTGAAGTTTGAAGTTAGACAGAACAAATTTGCAGTCGCTAAGTTGTGTCAGTGTTCGTTGGACGTTTTTGATTGAGTAGAGAAGTCAAGATGATTTCGTCAAGACAGGCAGCCAAGGAGCATGTTTTAGCAGTTTCCAGAGATTTTGTATCACAACCAAGACTCAGTGAGTACACATTTTCATTTTATTTCCATTTACGGTCAAAATTGGTAGATAAAACTTCAAAATGATTGGGTGGGTCTCATATCTAATGGTGGACTAGAAACTGGTCATATGACCAAAATTTTATCGTTATTGATCTATTCCGTTGATTAGTTTCTGAAATGAGATTTTATTTGATGCTACTTATTTCATACATTTCATCATCACTCATAATTTCGGGTTAACTTTTCCAAATCAGCTGTTTATACCATCATGTGACATATCCCATGATAGCCACTCCTCTAGATTCAACACAACAAATAAATATTTCTTTCATTTCAGCCTACAAAACAGTCTCTGGTGTAAACGGCCCTCTGGTAATCCTCGAAGATGTTAAGTTCCCCAAGTACAATGAAATCGTACAACTCAAACTGGCTGATGGCACTATACGTTCGGGACAAGTTCTGGAAGTCAGTGGGTCAAAAGCTGTGGTTCAAGTGTTCGAGGGCACATCAGGAATCGACGCCAAAAACACCGCTTGTGAATTCACAGGAGATATTTTGAGGACTCCTGTTTCTGAAGATATGTTGGGACGTGTTTTCAATGGATCAGGAAAACCCATTGACAAAGGTGAGGAAACTGTAAATTTTCATGTTTCGGTATAAGTAATAACAAGCCATAGAAGCTGAAGGGTTCAAAAAATCTTCATACATGTGATTCTTGACATGTGAATATTATGACCAAAGGTGAACCAAATAGTGGTGGTTTCAACTTTTCCCAGAATTCTTCAAAACTATCATTGTGTATGTGAATACAAAGCACATACGTAGACTGGGTAGTAGTTTCAATGGACTCTGTATGTTTTTTTGACTATAATTGATACCAATAATGTGAATGCTATGACCACGCTTTCAAACTGAATAAATATCTATGCTCTATTTCTGTGATTCTGCAAATAATTCGTCAGCTATGACTAAGAGACAAATTTTAATAATGTTTTTTCAGTACTCATCTACAAAACTGATACATTAGACTTTTTATGGAAACAGCTAGGTATGGTACTTTGATGATTTGATTTCTCCAGTTATATTGTTTTGCTCTTCACTCATACTCAATTTAGTTATCACTACCTTTCTATATCGATTTGCTATCTAATGGTTAGATTGATGATTTTTCATTTGGTGAATTGTATTTCGTAGTCAGTGTCTTGTATTTCAATACATTTTCTTTTTGATGAAATTTTATTGTAATGGCTAAAGTTTCAGTTCATTTGACTAAGATAAAAAGTTACCGTTCAGGCCAGTGAAGACTGAGACAGTTTATCTCAGAAAGTAATGGAAATATTGAGAGACTAAATGACTTTTAAATAGCAAAAAAAAAATTAAAGTAGATGATACAAACATCATCTATAGATGACAGCTGACACTAATGACAAACACAAAGAGTTGCCAACATAAAAAATACATGTGCTTCAAATGCTCGTCAACTATATTTTCTTATTGAAAAATCCAGGTATCTGCTGCCAGAGAAGAAGTGCCTGGTCGTCGTGGTTTCCCAGGTTACATGTACACCGATTTAGCTACCATCTATGAACGTGCCGGCCGTGTTGAGGGACGTAACGGATCCATCACCCAGATTCCTATATTGACTATGCCCAACGACGACATCACCCATCCTATTCCTGATTTGACTGGTTACATTACTGAGGGACAGATATATGTTGACCGTCAGCTCCACAACAGGCAAATCTACCCTCCGATTAATGTGTTACCATCTCTTTCTCGTCTCATGAAGTCCGCTATTGGTGAAGGCATGACCAGGAAGGATCACTCTGATGTGTCTAATCAACTGGTGAGTTTCAGTTTTCATATATGGGTTTGTGATATAAAATGATTTTGACTGAAGTTGAACATCTGTAAAAATCAAGAAAAAGTTTCTAAAGAAGTAAAGTTATATATTTTTATCATTGTGCATTAACAAGTTAGACTCGAAATAAAACATCAGAATGCATATATATTAAATTCCTTTGAATATAGAGATGTACTTCAGAAACAAGAAAATGAAATCATCAAAGTTCGGACCACTCTTGGTTACCAAAATGATTATACAAAGGACAATTTTTTTTTATTACCTACCAGACTCAGTTATCAGTTGTTAGAGAAGGGTTTGGCTTCATGCACGAAAATTGAGGCTTTATGATTGACTCCCAAGTCCTTGCTTATCAAACACACTCCTCAATTTTTGTGAAATCATCTTTTTTCGTTTTTCCGTTCGTAACTTCATCTGTTTCTTAGTCAGCCGTCTTTTTACTGCCTTCTAATCTGACCTAACCTTTTTTGATGTTCTCTGTATGGTTTTCCATGTTTAAAATCAACATCACAAAAAATGACAGAGATTGTGTTCCCGATTGCAAATAAGATTTATGTTTAAATACACATTCTAGCAATGACGTTCTGTTAGATCTAAGGTCTTCGACAGCATTTTCGTTGATAGTCTGCCGGAAAAAGTTCAAAAATATGAACTTCACAGCTTTAATTTCCGTTGAAAAATTCCTAAAAGACGTCAGTTGGTATCTCATAACAATATCAATACCTAAACAATAATTATGCATAGAGTTCCATAAGGGTCATTGATGGAACCATTACTCTTCATACTGTATATGAATGACTCACTATCTTTTATCGATACATCGAAGTTTGTTCCAACATCATGAATCTGAAGAATTCATCGATAATTATAATGAAGCATCCACTGAATTTAGTGAGTAATTTCAAGAAAATGGTGTAATATTAAACACATCTAAAACGATATATGTGCATTTACCGTATTTTTATAAATTTGCGATCATAGTAGAATCTATTTGAGACCATGTTGCAAATTGATTTCAATTTTTTGAGCATTTGTTCCATAACAAATCAGCATGGTTTCAACAGCATATAGTTTCAAACTACCTTTCAATTTCAATTTGTAAAGAGAATCAACATATATGACGAATAAAACCGGTCCAAGGTCAGAACCCTGGGGTACACCGTAATTAATGTCTATCGTTAAACACATAGCAAATTGTCAACATTCTTTCTGTAATTGTGGTTTGAAAAACTACTCCTGTGTTCTTTCATTCTTTGGGAAAAGGTGCTGCGTGTTTGGCCAATATAAAGTTTTGGGCAAGAACGCTTATATACTTCAGATCTATGACACTAAAGTTTTGCCTTAATTGTTTTCTATAAGTTTGCTGAAATTATTTATTCTGTGAGCAATGTATAAGTAACCATTGTTGACAGCAATGTTTTTGATAAAACACAGTTACAATGGAGTACTCAGTAGTCTGCGAAGCATACTATTAAATGCTGCTACTTTATGCTGATGCTTAAAATTGGCTTATTCTGTTAATCACTAACCTTTTTGTTTCAAAAATAACTTAATGAAAAAAAAATAATATGAATATAATATAACAGAGTTCTCTATTAGTGTTGATAATAAACTGTCTCAAATGTTAATCAACTCAACATTATTTTCAGTATGCTTGTTACGCTATTGGTAAGGATGTCCAAGCCATGAAAGCCGTAGTAGGAGAAGAGGCTCTCACCCCAGACGATCTCCTCTATCTGGAGTTCCTGACCAAGTTTGAAAAGAATTTCATCTCGCAAGGAAACTACGAAAACCGTACGGTGTTCGAGTCACTCGACATCGGCTGGCAGCTGCTCCGTATCTTCCCTAAGGAGATGCTGAAACGTATACCAGCTTCCGTACTGGCAGAATTCTACCCAAGAGACTCTCGTCACTAGTTTGTTTAGGATGTCTATCCCCCTAGGTTTGTTACAAATGTCCACTTGTATTTTATCGATAGTCGTACTGTATAATTTTAAGCCCATCGCGGTGCAATTTGTAAATATTCAATTCGAGTTTGTCATAAACGTTGAACTTCACTTTCAGTTCAGGGTTCGAGAAGGTTTGTCAACGTTTCGGTCACCTGGGGACCATCATCGGTTTCTTGGAGAAGGAATGCAGTTGATGACAGGCCACCGGAACGTTGTTGAACCTTTCGAACTGAGAGGCAGAGGTCAAAATTTACCATCCCAGCTTTGTTTCAGTCGAACGGGTCGATATTTGTTACTTTATTTCTTTCACACTGTTGTTACCTGGTGTATTGTTGGTGATTGAAAGGTGTTATCGCTGTTTTTTCATGTAGAAAAATTTAAGACAATACTGTAATTAGTGTAAGTAGATGTTTTGTCATTGATCAGTTGCACCCGGAGGTCCTTCTGTCGTTTTCCTCGTTCTTTTGTATTTTTCAAAGTGGAAAACCAACATTCCATAAATGTCATTACCCAAGTTGTATAAAGCAATACACCCCCCTATATACAGCTTTCAGTATTTTTATTCTAGATGGTGAACGGAAGTTTTTCTTGTTGTAGGTTTTGACATTATCGATGTTACTATAAAAATCTAATTTTACGATTTAGATTAGTGTACAAAACTTGTGAATAAACAGTATACACATGTTGAGTTTTTGCTTTCTTTGTCTTCTTTCAGAAAAGGTACACAGACCGACAAAGCTTTTAGTGAGCTGAATAAAAAAAATATGTTTAATCGAAGAAGGTAGACGTTTTGTCTACCGCTGCGGTAGATATTTTCAAAGGCGATGTGCTAACGGTCACAATACCCGAGCTGGTGCTCTGGTTCTTGTTGTATCCAACACGTTAACTTCAGAACTAGGCACTATATTTATTTTGTTCTTAGTTGTATTACAAGTTCGTGTATCTCTAAGAACAGGTAGCCAGCTTCAATTAATGTTCATTGTCTGGTTTATCTGATGATGCAGCAGTAAATATACTAAGAAACTGTAAAAAATTCAATGATAATATTCCTTCTATCAGAATATTTGCAGAACAAACGACTGCTCAACGAGAGTACAACAAAAAATTAAAATTAAAGGTGAATAACATCATAGCTGAAGGTGATTATTCTAAAACTATCAATTGGATCAGAGAATACCTCACGAATAGAAAACAGACAACAAAAATTTGTGACCTAATGTCGTCAGTAATTACAGTGAATCATGGAGTTCCTCAGGGTAGTATTTTGGGCCCTCTATTGTTCATTCAATACTCAGTCAAAAAGAATTATAAAGTACACATTATGGATAAAATTTGGAAGAAGAATCAAGTGAACATATTTCGAAACAAAATTGAGAAAAACATTGTGTATAGTTGAAGTAAATGATATTGTGTACAGTTAAAGTTGCCGGCACTCTCAAAGGCCAAAAAACAATACATAGAAACGAACCGACTGAACTAGTGCAATGTGGACTGAAGAATTGGCGGTTCTTATTGGATAATTTACACTGAGTTTTGTGATTGGCTGAAGAGTCACTAAAATTAAATTTGAAGCCATGTTACAGTGACGAATAGAAGGCGGGGATGGTTATCGCCGTCGTGTTTTCAATGTTCAGTTCAGGAACTGATCGCGATTTGAGTTTTGAAATTCGATATTGGTGCAGTTATAATTACTGAAAATTTGTTATCTGTTCAAAATGTGGCGTCCTTAGACAAGTACTAATAGTAATAACGAGTGTCATAACAACGCAGACTTTTTCTAGTGCAGTGATTTCAATAGCGATGGTGAACAATGCGAAACAGAGATACCAAAGAATAAGATTTGAATATTGAAACACAGAGTATGTTTTACTGTATATAAGAGTCTACATCTCGAATTTGGTTTCGAGGGAAACAAACTATTGCATCAGATTTGACCAAAATTCCTTTGTCAACTGTACGTAAAATAGTAAAAAAAAAAACTTATGAACGCAAGATTCGATGTGATACAGGATTACCAAAACCTTTAGATGTTCATCTAATGAATTCATTGAAAAAAACAATATACGACTGTTACAAAAGCAATGAGATTGCTACAACTGAAATCATAAAGAATAAATTGAATACTTCCGACCATAACGTGAGCTGCTGTGACAAAACTCTTTAGAATTTGAAAACTCTTCAGGATTTAGATTTAAAATAATAAACAAACGTCAAGCAGTTATGGAAAGGCAAAGAATAGTGAAATTGCGTAACAAATAACTAAATATAGACAAGAACAACGACGAATTTTCTATTTGGACGAAACTTGGTATGAGACTCACGACACAGTTTCGAAAGGGTGGACTGATGGTTCGAGAATGTGTACGCCTAACATGCTTGCAAACAAAGGATCGCGACTAATCATTGTGCATTGCGGAGTAAGTAAAGGATTTGATTCCTCCGGTTCAGTAAACGATCGACCGCCGTACGTCGACGAAACGCAAGATCTACTGAAAACATCGCCGCTGTCTGTGAGAGTGCAGGAGAATCCGTGATAGTTAATTTCGCGTCCCTCACAAGAACTCGGCCTTTCGCAGACTACACCTTGGTGAATTTTGCGGCGCGACTTGGGCCTTCACCCGTACAAAATTCCATTGACCCAGAAGCTGAAGGAAAACGACCATAGACAACGGCGTATGTTCGCTGAATGGACTCTGGAGCAACTGACCCTAATTTTCATCAAAACATCTTCATCGATGAAGCCCTTTCTGGTTGAACGGGTACGTGAACAGACTAAATTATTGAATTTGGACCAATAGATCCCGGAAAAGTAAAAGTGGGGTTTTCTTGAGACGTAGGTGTATACCAATAAGCTATAAACCACAGCGGTCCTCAAAGACAATATAACCCATGCCATTGGTCAAATTCAGCCATCAATAGGTCTTTCAAAAGAATAAAAAATTTAGATGATACCTCACACACACTTTGTTTTATTTAAATTTGAAGTTAGGAAGCCCCTAATGAAAGACCCCTAAGATTATATTTGGCCTTCTGATTTTCTACGATTCGTTTGGTATACTTACTTTTTTATATTGAAATTGATATCCCTGTTTAGGTGGAAAATTCGGAAAAAATAAATAACAAACTATACCTCTTCTATATATTTCAAATAATTCTAAAAACACATATTGAAATCTACAATGGAAAAATGAAACCAAATCAATCATTATCATTATTTACGGTGGTGATATAATTCATTACCAAAATGAAAACTGTACCCTAACAAATCTACTGATCCGCAGCAGTATTTTCAGCCAATCTATCACTTTCCAATGGCCTTTTCTGATACCTCTTCACAGGCGACTTTCCCTCAGATTTTTTGTCCAACAGCGACTCGATATCAGTCTTTTGAATCGGTTTGAGCGTAGCATTTATGATGGGCTGACCAGCGTTCTTTAGAACCACTTGTCCCCCTTTCATTTCGAGAATGCCCTGCTTTGCCATTTCCTTCATTTCCTCTTTCGTCACTATGAATTTCTGCACTCTTACAGTCTTCTCGCCAACTTTCATGTTGGACACTTTCTTATTCTGCAAGTTGCTTATCATCTGAGGCGAGAGGTTCCCGTAAGTCGTCTCGATTCGGACTTCTGGTAGGGGGACCTGAGTCGTTTCTTTGAGGGAGCTCAGTCGGATGTCATTCAGAGCTGGTGCCTTTTTTTCTGTCGGTTTTCGCTGGTATACTTTGGTACCCTCTTGACGTATTATTGGTTTGATTACTTCTTGAACAGGTTCTTCCTCTGGTTCGGATTGACGTTGCTGGGGTTGCTCCTCGTCATCAGAGGGTATTTCACTTTTGAAGAACCCAGAGTAGTGTTCTTCGTCTTCTGCTTCCTCATTCTGCTCCACTGATCGAACTTGAACCGGGACCACCTGAAAAAAACACATTTTGACACATCATTTACGATGGTGGTCAGAGAAGTTTCTGACCGCAACATGAAGATGGCAGCACTCGTAAATAAAAGCTAGTAAATTTCGTTGTTTATCTGTTGACAGTTACCAAAGTTTCAGCCATTTTGGACGCGCAGTCGTTTGAGTGAGTAGTTGTGAGTGTTTATGAAAATGGATAAATCAAGTATCGTGCTGTCATTAAATATTTATTTTTGACAGGCAATATGTCTACACAAATTAAAGATCAGTTGGATTCTGTGTATGGGGACTCTGTACCATCATTTACCATAGTGAAATTTTGGGCAGCTGAATCAAAACGTGGCTGTGAGAGCTTGGGAGACGATGAACGCTCGAGACGTCCAAAAACTGCAACTACCGACGAAAACCTCGCCAAAGTTCACCAAATGGTGCTAGACGACCTCCGAATTAAAGTGAGAGAGATAGCAGAGGTTATGATATGTATACGTCACATATTAAATCAACATTTAGGCATTAGAAAGCTGTCCGCGCGTTGCGGTGCCGCGTTTGCTCACGTTGGGCCAAAAACGTGTTCGAATGTACATTTCCAACGCTCTGTTGGCGCAAGTAATCCGAGTTTTGGTGCCGATTAACTACTGAAGATGAAACTTGGATACACCATTATATACGCAAAACAAAAATACAGTCCAAACAGTGGACTGCAGTGAGGTCTGAAGTGAGTGGGTCTATTCGACCCTCCACCGCAACTCGCAAGGGTTTAGTGTGGCCCACACCGATACACACTCGACTAAATAAACCCAGCTTCTTAACGAAGCCAATTAGTTTGTATGGTGAGTGGAAAAAAAAAGCAAAAACTGTTCTTTTGGCTGGGAAAGTGATGCCAACTGTTTTAGTCATGGAATTGTTGTAATCGAATATCTTCAAAAAGGAAAAACCATTACAGGAGCACACTATGCATCATTACTTGACAAGCTGAAGGCAGAACTTGCGGAAAAACGGCCAAATTTGCAGAAAAAGAAACTCCTGTTTCACCAGAAAAACACACCGTCTCACACCTCAGCGGTTGCCACTGCGAAAATCCACGAATTACGGTTTGAACCACTTGACCATCAGCCTTACTCACCAGATCTAGCCCCAAGCGACTTCTTTTTGTTCCCTCATCCAAAAATTGCGAAGGACAGAGATTTTCGTCAAATGAAGAGGCAATCACCTTCGTGAACGATTATTTTGCAGAGAAAATGCCGAGTACTATTTGGACGGGTTACAGAGATAGGAGAATCGCTGGGAGAAGTGTGTAGAGTTAAAAGGAGACTATGTTGAAAAA